TTGTGCAAGGGAGATGGAAGTTTGGGGCCCAGGCATGGGGTTGTGGTTGGGGGTCGATGTGCAGAGGCATTGGATAAGTTAGTCCTGACCCTTGACCCCGGACCTACAGCGGCTGGCTGAACTGCTGCTGGAGCGAGAACCCCTCTGCTCGAGGCCTGAGGCTCCCTCTAGGGCTCCCGCCGAGGGCCCCTCGCACCATCTGGCCCTGCAGCTGGCCAACGCCAAGGCTCAGCTGCGGCGTCTGCGGCAGGAGCTGTGAGTGTGCGCAGCCTGGGAAGGGGAATGAGTGGAGAGGGGCAGATTAAGCCTGGATGAGACCCTAGCCCTGGTGGCTACAGGAGGGGCCAGGCTTGGGAAGGGCTAGGGGTTGTGGGCCCTCAGACCCTCTCCAGCCTCCCCTTCCCTCCAGGGAAGAGAAGGCCGAGTTGCTGCTAGACTCCCAGGCCGAGGTGCAGGGTTTGGAGGTCGAAATAAGAAGGCTCCGCCAGGAGGTGCGCTCATATGCTCCTCGCCACCGCGGCATTCCCTAACCTCCTCGCACCCGGTCCTATTGCCTCCCTCCCAACCCGGCTCCCTCCCGTCCCTAATCCCTCTGGCCCGCGGCTGGCTGTTCCCAGCTCCACACCGTCTGGCCCAGGCCCAGGCGCTGTCGGGACAGGCCAAGCGGGCCGAGCTGTACCGCGAGGAGGTAGAGGCGCTGCGGGAGCGGGCCGGCCGCCTGCCCCGCCTGCAGGAGGAGCTGCGGCGCTGCAGCGAGCGGCTGCAGGCGGCTGAGGCCTGCAAGAGCCAGCTGGAGGTGAGGCGGAGGCGGGGCCGCGGGGCAGGGCGTGCGCAAGGGGGCGGGCCAGGAGGAGGGGCGAGATTGGGTCCCCAGGGGAGAGAGGCAGATTCTCTGGAGGTGACAGTCACGGGTGGAGAAATGGGTGAGGACAAATTCAGGGAGGAGGCGTCTAGAAAAGGGCCTCCGGAGGATGGGGCAGGTGGAGGGGAGAGGCAGCCTTGGAAGGAAGGCGGTTCCTGGGGAGGAGGGGCGGGGCATGGACAGAAGGGCGGGACCTGCACAAAGGGCGGGGCCAGGAGTGGGGGAGAAAGTACCTGAAGAAACCTCGGAGAGAAGATGGAAGAGAGTGGCGGGGCCTAGAGACTGATGGGGTGCAGGGTGTGGGAGGGAGGCAGGGTCTGTGACAGGTCGAGGGGAAGGAGTTTGGAACCCTCAGGCCCTGGAGTGCATGGGAGCTGCATGGCTACCGGTTCTCCCTGCTCTCCCACCAGGAGGAGCGGGTGCTCTCAGGGGTGCTGGAGGCCTCCAAGGCGCTGCTGGAAGAGCAGCTGGAGGCTGCCCGAGAGCGCTGCGCCCGGCTGCACGAGACCCAGCGCGAGAACCTGCTGCTGCGGACCCGGCTGGGCGAGGCCCATGCGGTGAGGTCGCCAGAGTGATCCCAGCTGGGTTGCCCCATCACCCCGTGGCCCCATTGATTCCCTGGGGGTCCCTAGTGATTCCTGCAACCTCTGCTCTTGGTGACCTCTAGTGACCCTCCGACCTACACACTCGGCCTGGCCATGGTGTGGAGAGCTTGTCTGACCCTCCCCTCCCCCCCAGGAACTGGACTCTCTGCGGCATCAGGTCGACCAGCTGGCTGAGGAGAATGTGGAGCTGGAGCTGGAGCTTCAGCGGAGCTTGGAGCCGCCCCCAGGATCCCCTGGGGAGGGTGAGGGACCCCAGTGGAGGGGTTGGGGTGGGGGCTGCCTGTGCTTTCCAGCAGGTGTATTGGGGAGAGCCTCTGACTTCCTCCCTTCCCCCAAGCCTCTGGGGTGTGTATGTGAGGAGCCAGGCAGTAAGGGAGGAGTCCTGACCTCATCTCTCATCCTCAGCACCCCTGCTGGGAGCAGCCCCCTCGCTGCAAGATGAGGTGAGGGAGGCAGAGGCTGGGCGGCTTCGGACCCTTGAGAGAGAGAACCAGGAGCTTCGGGGGCTGCTTCAGGTGCTTCAGGGGCAGCCAGGGGGCCAGGTGAGTCCCCTCCCCATGGTCCTGGCTGGCCCTTCCCCTAGTCCCTCCCTGCGCCTGACTGTCCCTCTCCTATTCCCTCAGCACCCCCTGCTGGAGGCACCGAGAGAGGACCCTGTGCTTCCGGTGCTGGAGGAGGCTCCCCAGACTCCTGCGGCCTCCGACCACAGTCCCCAGGGCTTGGCTCAGAAGGCAAGGGATGGAGGCCCCCAGGCCTTGAACTTGGCTTCCCCAGCATCAGACTCAGTGCTCAAGGGGTCAGCTGAGTGTCCCCAGGCACCTGATTCGGACCCACAGGAGGCAGAGAGTCCCCTTCAGGCAGCTACTGTGGACCCCCAGGCCTCAGACTGGTCCCCCCAAGAGTCAGACTCTCCTGTGGAGACACAGGAGTCCCCGGAGAAGGCTGGCTGTAGATCCTCTCTCCAGAGCCCTGCCTCTGTGGCCCCACCTCAGGGTCCAGGGACCAAAATTCAGGCCCTGCAGTTGCTGGGAGGAGAGACCGAGGGAAGAGAGGCTCCCCAAGGTGAGTTGGTGCCTGAGGCCCAGGGGTTGAGACAGGAGGACCCTGAGCACAAGCCAAGGCCTTCGGAGCCCAGCTCTGTGCAGCTGGAGGAGCATGAGGGCCGCAACCAGGGCCTGGACCTGGCCACGGGACAAACAGAGGCCAGAGAGCATGACCAGAGGCTGGAGGGGATGGTCGGGAACCCAGCCTGGCAAAAACCACAGCAGAAGTCAGAAGGGGCTCTTGAGGTCCAGGCCTGGGAGGGCCCAGTCACGGGGGAGAGCCTGGCCAGTGGTGTCGCAGAGCAGGAGGCGCTCAGGAAGGAGGTGGCAGAGCTGAGGAGAAAGGCTGAGGCCCTTGGAGCTGAGCTGGAAGCCCAGGCCCGCAAGCTGGAGGCCCAAGACATGGAGGCTGCCCGCCTCTCCAAGGAACTGGCCCAAGCGCGAAGGGCAGAGGCCGAGGCCCACCGGGAGGCAGAGGCCCAGGCCTGGGAGCAAGCCCGGCTGCGGGAGGCAGTGGAGGCTGCTGGCCGGGAGCTGGAGGCTGCGTCCCAGGAACGGGAGGCGCTGGTGGAGGCGCTGGCATCAGCGGGCCGGGAGCGGAGGCAGTGGGAGCGTGAGGGGTCCAGGCTGCGGGCCCAGTCGGAGGCCGCCGAGGAACGGATGCAGGCGCTGGAGAACGAGGGCCGCCAGCACCTGGAGGAGGCTGAGAGGGAGCGCCGGGAGAAGGAGGCCCTCCAGGCGGTAGGTCAGGTCGGGGCTCACAGCCGGGGTTGGGAAACAGGGTTCCAGGCTATTGGGAGTTACTGATTCCATCAGCAGCTGTTCAGTGGGTGCCCAGCACCAAGCTGGGGCTGGAGATAGAAAGGCCAAGACCAACCCTGCCTTCCAAAGGTGTGCCTGGCCTGGGGCACAGAGCCATGTCCACTGTGTGATGGGGCACTGTGGGAGGGGGTGAGATTGCCCGGTGCACATCTTGACTGTCTGGCTGCAGCAGTCGACTCACCTCCACTCCAGTCCTCCTTCTGTAAAACAGAGGTGCTATTCCTGGCCAGCTGGGCCTGTCTTAGGGAGGACCTCGGGAGACAGTAGCTGTAAAGGTTCATGCCGGCAAGGGTATGTTGTAAGTGTTCAAGCACTGGTTATTCAGAGCCAAGTGCTACGAGAGCCCGTGGGAGGCTGAGCTGATGCCTAAGTGGAGGCAAGGAAGCTTTAGGAGGAGTGACCACAATATCACTAGGTGGGGAGGATATTTTGTCCAGAAGGAATGGCATGTGCAAAGACAAAGGCATTAAAGACGCTCAGGGGCCAGGTGTGGTGGCTCACACCTGTAATCCCAGCACTTTGGGAGGCTGAGGCGGGTGGATTACTTGAGGTCAGGAGTTCGATAACAGCCTGGCCAACATGGCGAAACCCCATCTCTACTAAAAATATAAAAATCAGCCCAGCGTGGTGGCAGGCACCTGTAATCTCAGTTACTTGGGAGGTTGAGGCAGGAGAATTCCTTGAACCCGGGACGCGGAGGTTGCAGTGAGCTGAGATTGTGCCACTGTACTCCAGCCTGGGCGACAGAGCGAGACTCTGTCTCAAAACAAACAAACAAACAAACACCATCCAATGAAACAACAACAAAAAAAGAATGCTCAGGGCTCAGGAGGAAGGGGAGATGAGGGCCAGCTTTGAATGTATTGGTCCTGCCTCCCCAGGCAGGGAAAGCCAGCACAGAACTGTGTGGGGCTAGGTTTGAGGAGGGTCACCTTGGTGGACAGGGGAGCTTGGGGTTATCAGGAGGCAGTGGCCATGGTGTAAGTGGCAGAGGAAGCTGACTAGGGCAGCATGGGAGCGGGGGTGAGAGAAGGACTGGACACTTTTTTCTGTTTGAGACGGAGTCTCACTCTGTTGTCCAGGCTAGACTGCAGTGGGGCGATCTCGGCTCATTGCAACCTCCGCCTCTCAAGTTGAAGAGATTCTCCTGCCTCAGCCTCTCGAGTAGCTGGGACTACAGGCACACACCACCATGCCTGGCTAATTTTTGTATTTTTAGTAGAGACGGGGTTTCATCACATTGGCCCAGCTAGTTTCCTTTTTTTTTTTTTTTTTTTTTGAGACGGAGTCTCGCTCTGTCACCAGGCTGGAGGCGCGATCTTGGCTCACTGCAACCTCCACCTCCCAGGTTGAAGAGACTTTCCTGCCTCAGCCTCCCGAGTAGCTGGGACTACAGGCATGTGCCACCATGCCCAGCTAATTTTTTAAATTTTTAGTAGAGACAGGGTTTCACCATGTTGACCAGGATGGTCTTGATCTCTTGACCTCAGGTGATCCGCCCACCTTGGCCTCCCAAAGTGCTGGGATGACAGGCGTGAGCCACCACGCCCAGCTGACACACTTTTACTTATTCATTTAAACATGTTTATGGGCATCTTCTTGGTGCCAGGCCCTGTACCAGGCTCTGGGCACACAGCAGTGACCAGGAAGCTAGCACTCCAGTGTTTGGGCATGGCTTCAGCTTCCTTCCAAGCTAAGGAAGGGGTTAGGGCTTTTGCCAGGGGGTACTGCGCAGCCACTGAAGGCTCCCCAATGCGCAAAGTGAGCAAAATGGTCAGGTCTGCATGTGAAAAGGCGCCAGGAAGGGTGTTTGGGCCAGTGGGCCCCAGTGCTAGGGGACCTGTGAGATTGCAACACAGGTAGGGACTGAGTCCTCCTGCACGGCAGTTTCCAGTCCCATTTCTGTACAGACGAGGACACTGAAATTCAGGGAGGAAGAGTAATTTGCTCAGAGACGCCTTATGAGGATGGGGGGTGGGGAGCACACTGCTGGGTAGATGTGGGGTCAGGTGTTGTGCAAGACAGGCCCAGGGTAAGGTGGTTCTGGTGAATGTGAGGGAAGGTGAGAGACCGTCTCTGGGGTCCACTCTGTGGGGTGTGGCTGAGATGCTGTCTGGCCCGGCGACCTGCGTACTTTCCAGCTGTGTGGCTTGGGGCAAGTTACTTAACCTCTCTGAGTCTCAGTTTTCTCGCCTGTAAAACTGGACTAAAAATTGTACCTGCTTCGGCTGGGCACGGTGGCTCATACCTGTAATCCCAGCACTTTGGGAGGCTGAGGCAGGCAGATGACCAGAGGTCAGGAGTTTGAGACAAGCCTGGCCAACACGGCGAAAACCCGACTCTACTAAAAATACAAAATTAGTTGGGTGTGGTGGCACACACCTGTAACCCCAGCTACTTGGGAGGCTGAGGCAGGAGAATTGCTTGAACCCAGGAGGGAGAGGTTGCAGTGAGCCAAGATCGTGCCACTGCAGTCCAGTCTGGGTGACAGAGCAAGACTCCTTCTCAAAAAAAAAAAAAAAAAAAAAATTGTACCTGCCTCACAGGATCCTGTAAGACAATCAGCGTAGGGAGCTTGGGGCAATGCCTGGCACCTAGAATGGACCTGTTCCATGGGAGGGAATGCCAGCAGGTAGGCAGTGAAGGTAGGGTAGGGCTGGCGGGCTGGAAGAGCTGGCTCCAGGGACTAAGAGGGTGGGGGAAGCTGGGGACAAAGGGAGAATTTTGTGAGATTTCCTGGTTGGAGCAGGAGAAGGTGGCTGGCCAGGGCGAGGTCAGGGAACCAGGAGCCTCTCAGGTTGTCCACTGGGTGGGGAAGCCTCCCAGGTTGGGGGGAGGGGGCCCTAGGAGGGCTGTGGCCAGGGCCCGGAGGAGGGCAGGGCAGGGGCTGGGCGGGAGGTTCTAGTCACTGTGCCTCCTACCCCAGTACTTGCGCTAGTGGCTGCCAGCCAGACAGGCAGCAGTGCCTCATGGGACTTGTAGTTTTTCAGGGAGAGGTGGTGGCCAAGGGTGTCAGGAGGTGCAGTGCCCCCCGGGCAAGGCCTAGGTACAGTTATTAATCCAGGAAGGTAGTTTTCAGCGGCAAGGCTTGTAGGCTTGTCTTCCAAGGCAGGATTTGGCTGGCAACTGGTCATGGGTGCTGTCCCTGAAGCTTCATCCTTCTAGGCCCCCCACGTGGCAGAATGGTTTGGTCTCCTTCCCTCTGGGACCCACAGGCCAGAATGGGCCTCCCATCTCCTTCCAAAGTGGTGCAGCCCAACTGCCAAAGGCCACAGGTCAACTGGCTGGAAGCATCCTGGCTCCCCCACCCCCCGAGCCCCCACTGTCAACTCCCAAATTCCTGTCCCGCCAGTCCTCCGTGACCTTTTCCCTGTAACCAAGGTCTCTCACCATACCCGCCTCTGCTGAGCCTCTCTAGCTGTCTAGCTGTCACATGGCTGGAGTGGCAGCCCACAGGGCGCGTCCACCTTTCACTGCGCACATGAAGAACCGTGGGCTCAGAGAGGTGACGGCACTTGCCCAATATATGTCAGTGACTCCCGGCCCAGGGGCCTTCCTCATGCCCTGCCAGGCTTACGAACCCCAACTCTTTCATGCCCAATTTTGAGGGCATCAGACTTTGCTCCCATTTTATAGATGGGGAAGTAGAGCCCAAAGGGCTAACGATACTTGCCCAGGATGGCAGGTCAAGGACAGAAAGGCAGCTCTCTTGACTCTCAGGCCTCTGTCTCTGGCTGTCCCCTGCCCCCTTGCCCTGAGTCTGCTCTGCCTGTCCTCAGGAGCTGGAGAAAGCTGTGGTGCGGGGCAAGGAGCTAGGGGCCCGGCTGGAGCATCTGCAGCGTGAACTGGAGCAGGCAGCTCTGGAGCGCCAGGAATTTCTGCGAGAACAGGAAAGCCAGCACCAGAGGTGGGGACAGGGCTGAGGGGAAAAGTGAGGGAGGCAAGGGGTGTGGTGGGGTGAGCGTGGGGTGGGGCTGGGTGCCAAGGATTCTCCTGGCAGGTACCAGGGCTTGGAGCAGCGGCTGGAAGCTGAGCTGCAGGCAGCAGCGACCAGCAAGGAGGAAGCGCTAATGGAGCTCAAGACCAGGGCCCTGCAGCTGGAAGAGGAGCTGTTCCAGGTGATGCCTGATGGCCTGGGAGCTGGGGGCCATGCCACCCCGCTCTCCATCCCATGAGCAGATGTCAGGGTCGCGTGTGCTGCTGGTCTTGCCCCTGGATTCTTGGCTAGCTACTTGCCTCACTCCCCATGTGGGGCCTGTTGGAGGGAGCACTGTGCTGGGAGTCAGGTGGCCGTGTCGACTTACCTGGGGTCTCATTTTCCCCATTCTGCACATGGACAGAACTTCTGCTGTGGATGACTGCTCCGCCTCTCTCACCCGGGGTGCCCCACTGCCTAGGGAGCTCAGCGCTTGGCATCAAGGAAGTCAGTTATGGTTTCTGATGCCTGGGCTGTGTGTGGGCTCCATACGGAGGGTGGGATGGCGGGGCCTAATCCCAGGCTACCATCCTCAGGGAGCTCACAGTCCAGGTAGGATAGAGGCAAGAAAACAGGTGACGAGAACTAGGTGCCAGGGGCTGTGAGGAGGCCACACAGGGACTTGGGAGGGTGCTACCCAGCAAGGTACCCAGCAGGTGCATGTGAGTCAATCAGGGGAGGTTTTGTGGAGGAGGTGGGGTTGAAACACAGGCTTAGAGGAGGCCCTGCGCAGCAACTCACGCCTGTAATCCCAGCACTTTGGGAGGCCAAGGCGGGTGGATCACCTGAGGTCAGGAGTTCGAGACCAGCGTGACCAATATGGTGAAACCCCATGTCTACTAAAAATACAAAAACCAGGCCAGGCGCGGTGGCTCAAGCCTGTAATCCCAGCACTTTGGGAGGCCGAGGCAGATGGATCACGAGGTCAGGAGATCAAGACCTGATGAACACTGTGAAACCCCATCTCTACTAAACACACACACACAAAATTAGCTGGGCATGTTGGCGGGTGCCTGTAGTCCCAGCTACTTGGGAGGCTGAGGCGGGGGAATTGCTTGAACCCGGGAGGCAGAGGTTGTAGTAAGCCGAGATCGTACCACTGCACTCCAGCCCGGGCGACAGAGTGAGACTCCATCTCAAAAAAAACCCACAAAAAACAAAAACAAAAAAACCCAAAAATTAGCTGGGCGAGGTGGCCCACATCTATAGTCCCAGCTACTCGGGAGGCTGAAGCAGGAGAATTGCTTGAATCCGGGAGGCAGAGGTTGCAGTGAGCTGAGATCACACCACTGCACTCCAGCCTGGGCTACAGAGCGAGACTCTGTCTCAAAACAAAAACAAAAACAAAAACCGAAAACCAAAGAGGCTTAGAGGAGTAGTGGGATGGAGAGGTGTTATGAGAAGAAGGCTCTGCCGCAGACAGAGAGAAGTTGAGAAGGGCAGGGTGGAGATGGTGGAGCTTCAGGAACCAGGAGCAGGGACTTGTGGGATCCAAGGGAAGGCATGAGATTGGGGCAGGGTGGCCCTGGCTAAATGCTGCTGGCAGGACAGGCCCATAAGCGCAGGTCCTTGCAGCATCCCCAAGCCACTGCCCTGCGTGACTTCCCAGGGACTCTCCTTGCAGCTGCGCCAGGGCCCTGCGGGGCTGGGGCCCAAAGAGCATGCGGAGCCTCGGCTGGTGGAGACCCAGAATGTGCGACTTATTGAGGTGGAACGCAGTGTGAGTGTGGACCCACAGTGGGTCCTGGGCGGGAGGGTGCTTGGTGCAGTGTGAGCCCTGGGGAGGTGCCCTGTGCAGTGTGAGTGTGGGCCTGTGGCAGGCACTGGGGGTGCCCCCGCCACCTGGCTACCGCTAACCCCCACTTCTGGGCAGAATGCAACACTGGTGGCAGAGAAGGCAGCTTTGCAGGGGCAGCTGCAGCACCTGGAGGGGCAGCTGGGGAGCCTGCAGGGCCGTGCCCAGGAGCTGCTGCTGCAGAGCCAGCGGGCGCAGGAGCACAGCAGCCGCCTGCAGGTGGGTGGCCGCCCGGGTGCCCATTCCTGCCCATATACTGCCCCCTCCTGCCCCTTTTGGATCGTCCTGTGGCCTTTTTCTATCCCAGCTCCCAGCCAGCTGCCCCACCTCTTCTACAGTTTAATTTATCCTTGTTCTCTGACCCCAGCCACCATTGTGCACCATCCTCCCTGCCGCTGTCTCCTCCTACCTGCTGCCAGCCGCCACATCTGCACCTGTGTCCCCCTGCCCTCTCACCGTCCCAGCCCTCCCCTCCACAGGGAGCCATTAGTCCCATTCTGCCCTGTGCCCCTCCCGGACAGCCTGGCCCAGCCAGCCTCTGCCGCCTCTCCCCTGCTCACCATCAGCCTCTGGCTGGGGTTTGTGCTGCCTCCTGTACCCCCAGCCCTCTGCCTCCTCCACAGCTCTCTCCTTGTCTTGGGCCCTACCCTCTGCCCTTAGCCCCCGACCCTTCACCCGATTTCCAGCCAGGGGTTCCTCCCCAGAAGCCTCTGCTTCCCTCCTCCATCCCAGGCTGAGAAGTCTGTGCTGGAGATTAAGGGCCAGGAGCTGCATCGGAAGCTGGAGGTGCTGGAGGAGGAGGTGCGGTCGGCGCGGCGGTCCCAGGAGGAGACCCGCGGGCAGCAGCAGGCCCTGCTTCGGGACCACGAGGCCCTGGCACAGCTGCAGCGGCGGCAGGAGGCCGAGCTAGAGGGACTGCTGGTGCGACACCGAGACCTCAAGGCCAACATGCGGGCACTGGAGTTGGCCCACCGGGAGCTGCAGGGCAGGTGAGCATCACCAAATGCCCAGCTCCTCCCCTGGCACCCCCTATCTGCCAGAGAAGACTCCCCTTGGCAGGTCTGACTCCCATCAGGAAGCACCTCCACCTCCGCTCTGTCATACCCCCGCCACTGTTGTGCTCCCCACACTTCTGGGCTGGGCTCCCCGTGGGGCTCACCTGTTGGGAGTGGTGGGCACCTGGCATGGCTTTCTGCCCAATGGCTTTCCCTGGGGGACCTATGCTTAGGAGGTGACAGACCTCCTCTGGGCTCAGATAGTCCAGCTGGCTGCTTGTGGTGGCCATAGGTTCACGCAGCCCTCTTAGCCCCTTGTCCATCCCAGGCATGAGCAGCTGCAGGCCCAGCGGGCCAGCGTGGAGGCACAGGAGGTGGCCCTACTGGCAGAGCGTGAACGCCTGATGCAGGATGGGCATCGGCAGCGGGGCCTGGAGGAGGAGCTGCGGAGGCTTCAGAGCGAGCACGACAGGTGCCGGCCCTGCCACAGCCCCTAGCAGCTCTCAATGGCCCCATCCCGAAAGTGGGTTGGGGGTGTGGGGTCCTGCCTGGCCTCCCCTCCCCGGCATAACTCCTCTGGCCAGCACTCGGACTGAGGACCCAGGTCCCTTGGAAAACAGCTCTCCTTGCCTCCCAAGGGCTCAGCTGCTGCTGGCAGAGGTGTCTCGGGAGCGGGGTGAACTTCAGGGTGAACGCGGGGAGCTACGGGGCCGGCTGGCGCGGCTGGAGCTGGAGCGGGCACAGCTGGAGATGCAGAGCCAGCAGCTGCGCGAGTCCAACCAGCAGCTGGACCTGAGCGCCTGCCGGCTGACCACACAGTGTGAGGTGTGGCTGGGGGGCCGGCGGGGGTGTGGGTGTGTGTGGGGGAGCAGGAAGCCTATACCCAGGTGGTCCTGAGCTGGGCCCCACCCCCTGACCCATGTTGCCCTCCTGCCAGCTATTGACACAGCTGCGGAGTGCCCAGGAAGAGGAGAACCGGCAGCTGCTGACTGAAGTGCAGGCCCTGAGCCGGGAGAACAGGGAGCTCCTGGAGCGCAGCCTGGAGAGCCGGGACCACCTGCACCGAGAGCAGCGGGAGTACCTGTGAGTGGGCCGACTGGGAGCGGGGTGGGGCCTGCATCCCCTTTGGGCGTTCCTGGGGAGATCCCCCAGTGAGGGCCTAGGGACAGGGTTGGAGCTGACCTTCCAGGTCAGTCCGATCTGTGGCATGGGACCAGTGCGTCCTCGCTGCAGCCTGTGCCTTGCTACTGCCTTGGCTTCCCTGGGCCTCACACCCACCTCTCCCTTCTCACTCCTGCCAGGGAACAGCTTAATGCCCTGCGCCGAGAGAAGCAGAAGCTCGTGGAGAAGATCATGGACCAATACCGCGTGCTGGAGCCTGGGCCCCTGCCCCGGACCAAGTGAGCAGCCCTGTCACCTCCCTCAGGCTGGACATCCTGCTAACCTCTGCCCCTGCCCTGGCCTCTGACCCCAGGCTCAGCTCAGGTCCAGGCCCCATGAAGGTCAACCTGGCCTTTGCCATCCCCAGGACACCCTTTGCTCCCTCCCTCCTCCCTGTCCTGATCCCGTCTTGTGCCCTCTTGCCCCCAGGAAGGGCAGCTGGCTGGCAGACAAGGTGAAGAGGCTGATGCGGCCCCGGCGGGAGGGGGGCCCCCCTGGGGGGCTGCGCCTGGGGGCCGATGGGGCTGGCAGCACCGAGAGCCTGGGGGGCCCCCCGGAGACGGAGCTTCCTGAGGGCAGGGAGGCAGATGGGACAGGTGGGTCTGGGGGTCAGGTGGCCAGGATGGTCCCTGCCCCACATCCTCTGCCCCTACCTTGGCACCTGCCTCACTGCCTGGCCTGCATGCATGACCCCATTGGCCTTCCCTGAGGCCTGCTCAGCCTGCCCTGATGCCACCAGGGGCTCTTTGCCCTGGGCCCTGCAGGGTCACCCTTGGCCCACACCTCTCTCCTGCCTGTGCTATCCCCCACCCAGCCTGCCCCATCTGCAGAGGAGCCCAGGATCTGGGAGGTGCAGAGGACTCTAGGGAGAGGTCATTGATCCTAGACTGCAGATGAGGAGACTGAGGCCCCGGGAGGGGAAGCTCCTTGCCCAAGGTCATGCAGTGAGTTAGTGTCAAGGCCAGCACAGGGCCAGCGTCCTGCTGCCCCCTCATTTGCCTGGCTCCTACCCCCTCTCTGTACCTCCTCTCCCTGGCCCTGGGCAGCTTCACCCACTGGCCCCTCCACTCCACCCAGGCCACTGCTCTTCTGACCCCCTCCCTACATGAGCCTCAGCCCCCTTCCCCTCCCCTGACCCCCTTCCTGCATGAGCCTCAGCCCCCCTTTCCCTTCTCTGACCTCCTCCCTGCATGAGTCTCAGCCCCCCTCCCCTCCTCTGACCCCCTCC